CCCCCCGGCTGGCTGTGGGGTGGAGGACTGGTTTGTAGGGCTGATGCTGAAGGAATGTGGGAGGAGAGGGTCCCATCCCACTGTGCACAGGGTCCCCAGGGCATGTGGGGCTCTTTGCCCATGATGGGCTGTGATTAAGGCTGCAGATGAAAGAGCTGCAGTGCTCGTGCCTGCCAGGTCTTCCCAGAACCAACCCCAGACCCTTCCTCACCTTCAGGAGCTCCTTGTCCGCGAACGCCATGATGCCTTCAAAGATAATCACGTTGGCACCGTACAGGGTTTTCTGTGGAGTCAGAATCGATGTCATGAGGCAGAGAACATGTGTTCAGAGATGTCCCATCCTGGGGTATCTCTCTGGGTTGTCAGTGACTGTGACAGCAGCGCTGCTCACCCTGAGCCAGCCATGACTGCATGAGTCTGCCAAAGGCTGGGGGAGCGTCCAGTTGGCACCCCCTCTCTTGCCTTGGCAGTCCCCCCACCTTCTCCCACCCCCTTCACTGTCCCATACCCATTCCTTCTTCCGGCTGTGGGTGGTGAAGTCGTAGATGGGGATCTTCACGCTCTTGCCTTGCTTCAGCTTCTTCAGGGTGGCGATGATGAGGTCAAAGTCAAAGGCATCGGGGTGGTCAAAGTTGAAGTCATTGTTGGCCGCCTGCTCCTGCTGCTGCTTGGTCAACACCTGCCCACAAAGAAGGGGTGAGTGCACATGGCCATCCCCACCAGCAGCCTTCCCTCCCCACCGCTGTGCCCAGCAATCCCTCCTCCTGCCCCAAGAGCCATCTCAAGGGGAAACCATGAGGTTGTCACTTCACCAACACTGTGTTTCCCCATCAGGGGGATTTTGCCAAGGGCCATGGCAGCCCACAAGCCTGGCCAGGACAATGTGCAGCCTCACCTTGTAGAAGGAATCCATGGACAGCAGAACCACCCAAGGGACATCAAGAGCCTCAATGATCATGGTGGCCACTGTGGTCTTCCCAGAGGCACTGCCTCCTCCCAGGCCTGCCAGGGAAAAGGGGATGAAGACACCAACCCCACAATCAGCTTTTCCAACACAGGCTAGAGCCCAGGGTCCCCCCCATTGCACTAAGTTGGAAGAACCTCAAAAGAGGGAGGTCAACAGGCACTACAAGAGAGAGATTATCCTTGAAAATGTCAAACAGCACATCCAACTGCCAGCAAGGCGCACAGAAAACCCGGGAAACCCTTCACCGGGGGGTTGTGTAACAAGGGGAGAGCTGGCAGGAGAACCAGCCTAGACTAAATCCCTGGGAACTCGTGACAACCCAGGCGATGAGAGTTGAGGGAACAACAAGCAAAGATTGTGGTTTGTCCAGTGCCTGCTCTAATCCATCACCCCCATCTGCAACCTCTCAGCTTCTGCCCAATCCTCTGTCTCACCCAGTCAAACTGGACTAACCATGGGGACTCTCCGTGCTCCTGTCTGGAGTCACAGCCTGGAGTCTGGAGCCAACCTCATGTTCTCAAGGAGGTTGTGGGGCAGGAATCCCCCCAGGGACTCCTGGAGAGCCAGCGGGCAGGCAGCAGAGGTGGGACAGAGCCTGGACACGCGCTGCCTTTGCCTACCGATCACGAAGGCCTCTTTGGACTGTGTCCCATGCTCGTTGTACCACGGTGGGCGGCCAGCTGTGTAGATGGTCCTCTTGCTGGTCCGCAGCAGGGGTGGCTCAGACTTGCACTGGCTCGTGGTCCGTTTTCGGGGTGGCTTGGTGGAGCCCACCGCGGGGTACAGCCGGTCTAAGGACTCAGCACTGCTGTTGCTGGGGATGGGGAGAGGAAGGAGCTCAGTTATGGATGGTGGGGAAGGACCCACGTTCCTGGGGCAGGGGACCATGGTCTCCAGGGCATCACATGCTGTATGGGTGAGGGATGCAACAGAGGAGGGGGAGAGACAACCACAGCCCTGCTGCAGCACTACCAGCACCTGAGGTCATGGCCAACACCGAGAAATTCTCACACAGGACCAGTTTTAACCTGGAAAAGGTACATCACAAGCACCACTTCCTACAGCCCTGTTAAATAAACACTCCAGTGAGCTCTCCAAGGCGCTGAGGGGTGTCATCAGAGATGGCAACAACCTGTCCTGACATGCTGAGGAACCTTTCTGGGGGATGGAAGCCAAACACACGGGCTACAGCTTGACTGTCCTCATCCCTCCATGCACAATCCTTCTCCTCTCCCCACTCTGAGTGTTCCACTCCCACCCAAACCTCAAGATCTCCCACCCTTGAGGGCTGAAACCCCTGGGGACAAGCCTGCGAGCTGTCCAGAGCTGGGCTGAGCCGTGCTTTGCTGTGCAGGCTGAGCGAGCACTGAGCACAGCCGAGGCCCTGGAGCTGCTAAACCCCTCTCTGTTATCTCCCCTCCCGCCGTGACCCCGGGGAGGGAGAGGAACAAACCACCCTCTGAAGCTCTTTTGAGCTTGGCAGCGGGTGAGCAGCGGCTGGGTGGTGATAAGTGGCCTCTGGCCAGGAGATAAAGCCGCAGCCGCGCTGCCCGGCCAGCTCGGGGATGGGGAGGATTATTTATACCAGCTCCCGCTCCTCCCCGCTGGCTGCTGGTCTCCTCCCTGTGAGGAGGTGCAAAGGGCTCCCTCCTGCTCACGCTTGGTCCTCTTCTCAGCTGTGACTGGGATGGAAATGAAACTTCTGCAAGGTCAGAGAGCCTCGGGAACTGAAGATGCCAAACCCGGCACTGTTTGGTACAGCCCGGCTGAGCTGGCGAGGCTTGGCTGCCTCTCGGTTATTTTTTGCTCTTAAAAGGGCTTAAACTGCAGGGCTTTACAGATTTTGGGTTGATTTTAAGCTGTTTTGGTATGAAGATTAATTCCCTTCTCTCCCCTTAGCCCTTTTTAGAACAATTTTAGATAAAGATCCAAATTTGAGACCGGCCATC